GACAAAGGCTGGGGCTGCACTTGGGTGCAATGATTAAATTATTTACAGCTTGTTTGGGTCACTTAGCTACAAATTTAGGGTAGGCTGGCTGCCCCACCAAGCCTACCTGATGGGGAGAGACACGGCCAATGGAGCCAGGGCTTGATGGTCACGGGGATGTGGTGGCCCCAGTGCTGGAGCTCTGCAAAGCCATGGCACGTCGGAGGGCTTCGGCGTCAGCCCTTGGGCGATGGAGGGTGGTCACAGCCTTACCCAGGTGTGACGGCGCTGGGGCTGCTCCGGGATCCCCTCATCCCCCTCCATCACCTGCCAGAGCTAAACCCAGCTTTGCAAAGCCCTGGCTGACGTGGCCACGTTGGCCGAGGCAAAGTTAGGAGAGATTCAATGGAAGCAGCTGAGCAGGACAAACGCCAGGGAGCTCCTACCCGTGCGCCTTCCCTCTCACCAGTATTCATGGTACAAAACCTATTTTATAGCCCAATGAGCTTACTTTGTCCCCGAGGGAAGCCGTCCATACCAGGGACAGGTTTGTCTCCCAGCTGTCCCTCAGACCTTCCCCAGATCAAGCGAATAACCTTGGGAAAGCAACTGTGGAAACACTTTTGGTCCGTCCCGTTGGTAACCAAAGCCAACCTCTTCTCTTTCGCTAGACCAATGGCACCAACTAGGTGGATTTTTTTTTTTTTTTTTTTCCTCTCTCCACCCTGTTTTTTCTATGAGGTTTTAAATTATCTGGGTTATTTTGTGTGTATGAGAAGACTTCATTTAAAACATCAGTAAAACTTCTATCAAAGGGCTCAACTTCACACCGAGTACACAGAGCTCGGGACTGAATCCTGCAGTTCAAGAGAGCTGCAGGCAGTTTTACACATTTAAATGGATGGTGCCTTGTTTTAAAAAAAGCCATCTGAAGTTCATGGGGTTCATCTTAATTGATAAGCTGGACATAACGGATGGGTGTAGGGAGACTTCAACAACATAAGGGAAGAAAGCTATGTTTTTTTCTTTCCCTCTCTCTCTTTTTTTAGTCTACCATCAAAGGTTGGGAACTTAGCACTACATCGTAGTATTCTTTTTCTTCTGCTATTAAAATGAATCACACTGTGCCTAATTCTTCTTGAGAAGATGAATGTGTTTGAGGCAGCTTGAAGCCATTCAGTGCCTCGCAAGCCTTTGCATCTTTCTATCAATGTTCCAAAATACTCACCTCTGTTTTTTGGATGTCTGTAGAAACAAAATATAAAATGGCTTCAAATACATGGCAGGCTGTTTAGCGGAGATGAAAGGGTATTTGAATAGTCTTTTAAAAATGAATGAAAAGTGAACACTCTCTTCTGTTTCAATTATAAGTGGGACATGGAGCTTGTTAGACACCACCTTAATACGTGACACTGAAAATGTTCACCTACCTTCAGCGTTTCAGAAACATTTTGTTTTTTTAGCCTGGCTCGGGATAAAGAACGTGATTACAGGTCTGGCTTGTCAGCTGCTAAATGGAGAGGCAGCGTGGGAAAGTTCTACTGCTACAGCTTAAAAAGTCTCACATCCAACCCATAGATATATATATTTATTTTTTTTAATGGTACGGAATACAGGGAGCGAGCAAGACTTTATTTGGACCCCAGTGGCTTTTTTTTTGTTTAGATTAAGTTTATCTGGTTTAATGAAAGCTATGTAAACTCATGGTGGGGAAAAAAAGCCCTCACGGTGTTACAGCACCTGCGGAAATGTCCCCTTTTTGGGTCCTTCCAAATGGGACGTTTTGGGTCCCTTGTCTGGAAGGACCCAAAAAGGGGACATTTCCGCAAGTAAAACATCCTGTTTTGAGTCTTTCCAGACAAACGAGATCACCAGCACGAGCCGGCTCTGCAAAGCAACACCCGATCAGTGCTCGAGCGCTGCAGGAAGGACGGTGTGAGCGAGACCTAACTTCTCCACATCCTTAAATCACACTAATTCTTAACATTTAGAGCATTTGTCATTTTCGAAGTGTGCTGGAAACGTTCAGCCCCACGACCCCCACGGAGGGTAGGTAAACCTGCCCGTGTTAGACCGGCGCCCGGCGGATAATTGGCAGCGTGGATGGGGCAAGTGGTGGCCAGGTGAGCTTCAAAGCCACGTGTCCGCTCTGCAGGCTGGGTCACAGTCCAGCAAAACCACTGGCCCTGCCTACAGCACAGTTAAAACACCTTGATGGACCTTTAATGATCCTTGGGAATGTTTGGGCCATGGAGCACAGAGGGAGCAGTGGGCTGGGAATCATAAGCATCATGATCAGAGGCTTTTTGGGGGAAAACCCATCACTTTCCCAAGTATTTAATGGCTGGGATTTGTTGGGGGCGCATGGAGACGAGCAATGGTCTTGCTCAGTCCCAACTAAAGGCTTGAAGTGGTGGGGAGTGGGCAGCCGTGGAGTCAGTTCTCCTCTCTGAGATGAGTGGGGACAGGGACCTTGGAAACATGAGGTTTTCTTCCCTTGGTAGAAAACAGGCTGCATTTGGATGCAAAATGCATCCCCAGCCCTTGCTTGCAGGCCCCTTGGCTGGCAGGTCACAGCAGATACCAGGGACATGATTTGTTCTTCTCTCTCCTGCCTGAACGTTTGACATTGCCGGGCTCAAAGGGTGTGAAACATCTGAGCCAGCATCCAACAAATGTACGAGGCTGCCCTCAAAATCAGATGTTAGAATAGAAAAAAAAAAAACAAATTTCCAACCTATTCTTGTCAGGATTTCTGCCTCTGATCTTTCAATTCCCAGCATTTGGTGCGAGAACAGGAGGCAATTAGGGCGTCAGTGGTGACTGAGGGTGCTGACCCACCCATGCCGGCGTGTCCTCCTGGGGCAGTTGGAAGAGGTTCGTGCCTTGGGAAGAGGTGCCCCAGCCCCATGGCAGGGCTGAAAAGCATCCCTGACACGTGAATCTACATCCAACGGTCGTCTTGATTGGTAAAACCAACTCAAACCTCCAAAATTCCCAGCAGGAGGGGCAGAGGAGGGATGCTGGCTGCCTCCTGCAGCACTGAGGACCATCGGCAGTGGAGAGAGGGACCGGGCAGCAATAATTTGGGGATCCTTTCTCCAGGAAGCCAATGCACAGCCTAAGTGACCTGCCACCATCCCGCAGCCCCTCTGCACCATCTGTGGGTATGGGAGGCTCCGTCCTCCACAATGCACCATTTATAGGAGCCCAAGGTATGCCAACTGGCCATACCCTTCCAGTGCTCTTCTGCAGACCCATTTCTCAGACAGTAAAACGAAGACCCCAAAACAGTGACAAAATCCCCCCTCCCTTCATGAATACAAACTATAGACTGTACACTAATTTTAATATCACCAGTACTGGGGGAGGGTGCTTTCCATCGGCGAAGTCCCATGAAAACTCCCTCCTTTTCCCAGGTGCCAGGATCAGCAGCGCTGCCGATTCCTCCCAGGCTTTCCCGAGCCTCGCCGAGGTTGTTTTCTCCCCCTCACCTACGGAGGTTATTCCCTCTAAACCCCTGAGTCAGCCGTGCGCTAGCTGGGCTGGAGCATCAGCCCATCAACACTCTGCTTAGCTCCTTTCTCTTTCACCTTCCATTAACCTCGTGTTCCTCAAACACCTTCACCCAACTACTCCACACCAGTAGCAACCTCAGATTAATTAAAAAGGAAAAAAGAAAGGAACGCTCAGTCTTTAAACAAAGTTCCTATCCCATTGCTTTCAACTGCTCTGCCTTAATCACAGAGCCCAGAAAACACCCACACAGAGGCTGGAGAATTATTTAAGGCAAATCCTCTCCCTTCCCCTTCTGAAAAGAGATCAGGCTCATCCTGGATGGTGAAAGCAGCTCTGGTTCAGGTCCTTTCCATTCCTCCCAGCAACGTCCCCGGTTCCAGCCCGCAGCCTTGCCCAGCCCTGCGCACACTCCTTACCCCTTGACTTCATTAGCGTGTTACTAATCATAATGAAGAGTCCCAAGCTGAATTTTTCTAACATTTAAACCATGGCACGCCATATGTTTTAGCCTCTCTTTTA